AGAGAGATATATATATATATATATATATATATATATATATATATATATATATATATATATATTTAAATTCACCTGATGAGTGTGGTAAGCATTGCTTGTCATACGAAACAAGTTTGTAGTGAATAAATCTTATGAAGTAAACCAGGTTTATTTTATCTTTATGTTTATTAGCTCTATACTTCGGTATATCAAGCACTCTACTCATATATGATTCTAAATAATAATAATAATAATAAATTTATTACTTATATAGCGCTATTTACAACAATTGATCAAAAGCGCTTCACAGAGTTAAGAATAGATACAATATTTACATTATTGATTATTTACATTGTTACTGATGAATTTATTAAATATTAACATTCTTAAAATTCAATATTCGTATCTTACAAAAAGTCAGTAAAAACGTTCCTAAAAAGATGAGTTTTAATTGATTTCTTGAACAAGTCAATAGATGTAAGTGAACGTATACCAAGTGGAAGACTGTTCCAAAGATGAGGTGCAGCCGCGCGAAAGGATCGGGCACCCAAGGTGGTAAGCATCCTGCCTGCTGGAGGTTCCAGTAGAGTGCCATTGTTAGATCTTAAGTTGAAGGACGACTTCGATTTGACATTAATGAGATCCTTGATATAAGATGGTGCTAGATCGTGTATAGCTTTAAAAGCAAATAGTAACACCTTGAATTGTATTCTTGCATGTACCGGAAGCCAGTGTAGTTCACACAGTACGGGCGTAATATGAGAATATTTTGGAACGTCCATTACTAATCTTGCAGCAGCATTCTGAACACGCTGTAGTTTAGATATTTGCTTTCCAGGGAGACCGTAGAATAAGCTGTTACAGTAGTCGAGCCTGCTGGTGATGAAAGCATGTACTAGGATCAGTAAGTTGTCTCTTGATAGATATTTCTTAATTCGTCTGATAGTATGCAGGTGGAAAAAACAGGCTTTACATACTTGTGTGATATGAGTCGTCATGTTTAAGTTCGAGTCCAACCAGCTGCCAAGGTTCTTAATATGCTGGCTAGGAGAAATCACAGAATTATTAACTGAAATGCTAATAGGGTGAAGTTTACATAATTGCTGACGAGTGCCAATGACCAAGAATTCAGTTTGCCATCGTTCATCAGGAGTTTATCCTGACTCATCCAGCGTCTTATTTTATCGATACAAGACTCCATCGCACATAAAGCGTCTTCCTGTGACGTACTTAAACTTGGCTTAAAACTGAGGTAGAGCTGTGTATCGTCGGCATAACCATGTGAGTCAGGAAGCTGATCTTCAATTATTTTAAACAGCTTGGATGCATATATAATAAAAAGAAGGGGACCCAAGCACGACCCTTGTGGAACTCCTGAGTCCAAATCGAAACGTTGGGATAGTATACCTTCGATAGAAATTTGCTGACCTCTGTTGTGCAGGTATGATTTGAACCAATCCAAGACTTTTCCGTGAATGCCAAACTCATTTCGGAGACGGCGAAGCAATATTTCGTGATTGACAGTGTCAAACGCGGAACTTAGATCAAGTGGAACCAGTAAAGTAACTTCTTGCGAGTTCATTTTTAGCAGGATATCGTTTGTAACTTTAAGCAGTGCGGTTTCAGTGCTATGATATCGACGATAAGATGATTGTAGCTCAGGATATAATGAGTGGGCCATCATATGCGAATGGGTCTGACTAAATACAATTTTCTCAGTTAATTTGGAAATGTACTGTATGTTGCTTATAGGTCTACAATTCACAAAAAGTGGATCCACTCCGACAGTTTTCAAGAGCGGGTTTCAAGAGCGCATTTCCAGACGTCAGCAAACGTCCCTGAGTCCAATGACAGATGAATTATCTTGGTGATAGTCGGTAATAACACATCGATTAGGTCGATCACCAGTGACGTTGGCATGGGGTCGACAGCAGAGTTCTTTTTTCCGCACTCTTTGATAAGCGTTCGAACATCTTCTTCGGTGAGTGTGTTAAAGTTACTTAGATGAGCAGTTGTTTCAGATGTGTTATAAACTTCAAACTCGGGTAAATCGTGCCCAATATTTTCAAGATTAGTGTGAATATTATGGATTTTTTCAACGAAATAAGTACCCATTTGGTTAGCAAATTCAAGTATATCAACAGAAGGAGGAAACGCAACTCTCTTGTCACCATGATTAAGTAATTTCTTCGCGGCTGCGAATAACTTATGTTGATTAGAGTTATTTGTCTCGATGAAGTTCTTGTAAAATTGGCGACGGGCTTCGTTCATTAGCTTGTTCGTATTATTCTTCTTCATGTCTTCAGTGTGGCCAGTACGGCGCCATTTTCTCTCGGCTTTTCTCTTCTCTCGCCTTGCAATTTTAATATCATCATTGAACCAGGGAACTAATGGTCTAGATTTGATGACCTTCGTACATAGGGGTGCGTGCCGGTTTAGTGTCTCAGCTAAAGTATCATTATAGCATTTCACAAGTTCATTAGACTGTTTATACAAAGATCTGATGTCAATAATTCTTCTCGAAGTCTTGTTTTATCAATTGCTTTAATTTTTCTATATGATACTTGTTTCTCAGTTGGTGGTATTCTTCCTAATGTGAAGTCGCATATGACTGTGATATGACCCGAAAACAAATAATCTGTTAAAGGACGAGTGGGAAGTAATGTATCAGAATTCCGCGTGATTATCAGATCAAGGGTGTGTCCAGATGTGTGAGTAGGCTCGTCAACATGTTAATCAAGACCCATATATTAAATACATATTTGGTATATATATATATATATATATATATGTATATATATATATATATATATATATATATATATATATATATATATATATATATATATATATATATATATATATATGTATATATATATATATATATATATATAGTTTTTCGTTTTACCTCAAAAAACCACAACAGTCTGTTTCATCCGTATAGGAATCATCAGGTGGTCACCACCTGATGAATCACCACCTGATGATTCCTATACGGATGAAACAGACTGTTGTGGTTTTTTGAGGTAAAACGAAAAACTATATTACGCTCTATCTATATGGTATTGAGCACTGTTTGTGTTTCGTAAACCAAAATCTTAAGCTATATATATATATATATATATATATATATATATATATATATATATATATATATACCGTCTGTAGTTAGATATCTCTTTATGGCCTTTTGGTCATATTGAGCGCTCTACAGAATGCAGGGGCGAAACTAGCCCCTTTTAATTAGGGGGGTGTCTGCTAGAATTGCCCTGCGAAAGCCGATGATGCCCTGCAGCCAAATATTTTTTTGGCTACTATTTCTCCCAAAAAAGTTTGCGAGCGGGGGGGAGGTCTAAAAATTTTTTTCTGGACATTCAAAGAAGGGGCGACAAAATTTTTGCGGACATAAACCAGTTAAATTAAGGGTCAAAAATTTTTTTGGACAAATTCCTGTTAAAACATGCATGAAACCATTATTTTTTTACCAATATCTGTAAAATTTAGGTCTATAAATTCTATTCAATTCCCTCTGGAAGCCCTGGGAGCTACTTAATAACTCTACATTCTATCATTTAAAATCTTTCATTGCCCTGCCAATCCCGATGATTTGCCCTGCCAATCCAGATAATTTGTACTTTGGGGGGTGTCACCCCCCCCTTCAAGTTTCGTCCCTGACAGGATGAGCCTTGTCGCTTACGCATTGCGCACGCTCACTGTAACACCCACAGCGTCCATATAGCTATAACATATATACAGTAGGCGAAGGCCGCGAAAAGTCAGCTAAGCAAAATGGATCACTATATACGTTACCAGCAAAGCGTTTTCGCCTATAAAAATGTTAGGAATATTTCACTGATGTCTAATCACAAAATCTTTTAGGAACATACACTATAGTTATAACTACTGGCCGATTACCGTGATTTGCCAATCGTAAACTGCTATTAAATGTAGAAAAAATGGCGGAATTATATTCGATACTGTTTCGATATACGGTAGTAAATCTAAAGGGCAGTGATTTTAATTCTAAAGATCTGATAATTCCGATTCTACCAATCTTGAGTTTTGTAGCGAAAAACATACACGCGGTAGTAAATCTATTAGCTAGTATAGGAAATTATATACACGGTTCGAGAAGTATTTAATGAAAAATCGCATGCGTGTTTGGCGAAATAGAGAATATAATACATGGGTGCGTGGTTAATTTCCAAACATACTGACTCCGAATTTTCCGGCGTTAAATCACCACAATTTAAATATGATATCGTCCGCCCAATGTAAAAACAGACACCGCCACCGTGTTTGTTCCTATCCATGCGAACTATATCATATCCGTCAATATTAAAAAATTCACTTGGAATATCAGGGTGAAGTCTCTTTCTCCTCCGCAGAGGCTTTTAAAGAATATGAAATTCGAAGGAATTGAAATTGCGCTAGAAGGTATCTGGTATGAAGACAACCGCTGAGAATCGGCGCACGGGCGAGGTGATGGAAAGGAAAAAATAGCGGAAGCCTCTGCCCGATTTCTGTTCCAATATGGCGTTAAACCGGGGGGAGTGCAGATTCTCGAGCAGTTTGGCAAAATGGCTCAGTTGCGTATGAATTATTCATGTCCACAAAGGCAATTTATTTTGGCTTTGCGGAGCGGGAAAACGTGTTGTGCTGTCTGTGGTTCACAAACAACAGACATATTTAGTCAAGTAGGCCTTCAACAGCATTACCGAATTAGACACAGAGGCACAGAATTCGATGATAATGCGCTGAAAGACGGAGTGAAATGTTTGAGAAAATTTGCTGCAAATGAAACCAAGGAAAACTTGATAGCCCTTTCAGAACAGAGAAAAAATTCGGTAGGTACAATTTTTTTCGGCTTTATACTTTGAATTGCTGATGTATTTTACAATGAATGTGTGCTTTAACATAGGATTTTGATAATTACAAGATTTTTGATGTTGAAGGCGATGGTGAGAGCATGGTGTTGTGTTGTTCAAACGAGAAAGAGGCAGCAAAGTTGTTTGGGTTATATTTAGACCATAAAGTTTCCTTGCCAAAACTGGAGAATAGTGGTGAAGGCATGAAAGTGAATGTGAATAATAACTCAATGAACTGCACGTTCCAATTGTGGAAAGCTCAAGACAAAGTGCATGCAGAAGCAATCTACTACAAATTGGTAAGGCAATATATAAATATATCAAAATGCCCCTGCATACCAAAATATTAAATTTTTCAGCCAGTACCCTGGCTCTCCTATTAAAACTTGCTGCAACCTCAGCCAGTATCCTGGCTCTCCTATTAAAACTTGCTGCGACCACAAGGTCTGGCCATGATTCCATGATGACATGATTACAGGGTATGCTAGATATATTTGAATGCATGCTTTGCATTTGAAATATAAAAATAGGTGTTTAAATACGTAAAGTACTGGATAAATGTTCCAGGGTCAGCTTTGCCAATTTCAAATGTTTTATTACCCTGGATTCCAGAGCCTTCGACAGTAAATAATAAATTGAAATGTCGCGAAGGCTCTGGTTCAACGGGGCAATTCTTTGATTAAACCGCGCCAATCACAAAACATTATTAGTGGTTTTGTACTAAAACCACTAATTCTGTTTTGTGATTGGCGCGGTTTAATCAAAGAATCGCCCCGCTGAACCAGAGCCTTTGCGACATTTCAATTTATTATTTATTGTCGAAGGCTCTGGAATCCAGGGTAATGTTTTATAGTATATTTTCCTCAATTGTCTTCACACTAGATGTTCATGTCATCAATGTCCATTGTATGTAAATATTTTTGCCAAACTTGTTGTATTTTTTTTAGAAAACACCTACCACCATTTTGCCGGCACCAAATCTGTCAAGTTGCCAAACATCCCAACCAGAAATAAGTGCCATTCTTGTCCAGGAAAATAGGGAATTATCATTACTGAAATATTTGTATCAATATGACTCATTTCGCTCTGGTCAGCTAGAAGCAATTCAGTCCATATTGCAAGGGAAGGATACTCTTACACTTATCCCAACTGGAGGTGGGAAAAGTGTAGTATACACTTTACCTGCGATTCTGAATCAAGGACTTTCAATTGTCATTGAGCCTTTGAAATTCATCATGGAAGAACAGTGTGAGAAACTAAGACAAAAGCAAATACCAGCATTTTTCTATAATTCATCATTAACCGACAAAGAGATGCAGTTTGTAATAAATTCCCTGTGTCGTCAAGACTTGTCTCAAGTAATACTCTTTACCAGTCCAGAATGTATCATGTCTGAAAAACTGTTGAATGTTTTGAAAAAATGGAGTGATAGTGCAAAATTGAACTTTATTGCAATTGATGAAGCTCATTGCATAGATGTTTGGGGACAAGGATTCCGTGAAGATTACCTTAAACTTGGACTGCTTAAAGATTTCAAAGTACCTATTGTTGCTCTTACTGGTACAGCTACGAGTACAGTCCAGAGTAAAATAGTGGAAACATTGAGAATGGAATCCCCTGAAATAGTAAAAGTGACAAGTTCACGAAATAATTTGTTATTAAACGTTGTACCAAAGCTTGATAAACCCAAAAGACAAATTGCCAACTACATCAATGAAAATTATAAGGAACAGCGTGGTATTGTTTATTGTGCACGCCGGAAAGATACTGTTGATCTTGCACATGAACTTAAAACAGCCAACATCAATGCGGTTTTTGTCCATGGTGCCCAGTACGATGCCGAAAGGAAAAAGCATGAGCGAGCTTGGACTGATGGTCATGCCCATGTCATTTGTGCTACTAAGTCATTTGGCATGGGTATTGATAAAAAAGATGTGCGGTTTTGTTTTGTACATGTCATTTCCAGAGAGTCTTGAAGACTATTATCAAGAAATTGGCCGTGCTGGAAAGGATGGAGAGCCTGCTGCTTGTACATTGTTTTTTAAGCATGAGGATAGGTCTTTCCATCTTCACAATATTGTTAAAATTGAGGACAAAGAGTATCAAAAACATAACTACAATTTGCTTAACCAAATTGTTAACTATTGTGACAATAACATGTGTCGGCACAAGCAAATCTTGTTGTATTTTGAGGAGAATGTTGCAGAATGTGAAGACAAATGCGACTTTTGTACTAGCAACAAAACAGTCGAATTGAAAGATCGCACTTCAGTGTCAAAAATAATTGTGCAAGGTCTGTTGGCAATGGAAGAAAGGAAAAAAAAAGATAACAGTTTTGCTATTAACACAGTTCTTGCTTGGGTCTTGTGCCACTGAACTACAAGTTTTATCATTAAATATGGTTAAAGAATTTGGTTCTGCAAAACCTCATTACAGGCAGAGAAATGGAAGGAAGCAACTACAGAGATTGATCTTCCATCTCATTGTTATTGGGATCATTAAAGAAGAACCAGCTGGTACTGCAGACAGGCCTTCTGTTGTTTTGGCAACAGGTAACACAAAGAAACTAATGGATGGTTAGGAGACAATTCTATATTGACATGCAATTATGTCATATTAAGATTGTTACAAAATCATCAACAATTCTGATCAAGTTTCTAGTAAAACATATCATGTTTTAGGAAGAGTTTCTATTTTTAGACATTTATTATACTACATTATATTGTAAAGCCTCACCCAAAATGTAACCCTTCCCCTAATGCTAACCCTAACCTTGCCCTAACCCAAATCCTAAACCAGACCTGAACCCTTTTCCTAACTTTAATCCTAACAGACTAACTCTGAGTCTAAAAATAGAAAAAATTGCTAAAATGTTTAACTCATATATTATATGGTGTATAAAATTAATTTATCCTACTGTACATATGGTTCATAAAATATATTTATTGTATTGGTTGATTTTCAGTAACTGATTAACCCTTTAAGTGGCAATGCACCTTGTTGCGTCCTACTTTATAATTTTACTCTGTTTAATGCCAGAGTATTTCACTCTGTCTAATTCCAGACTATTTTTCTCAACATCAAGTGGAGAGTGCTGCCACTCAATGGGTTAATTAATAGTAAAGTACATTTGACAAGCAAAATAGTAATTGATGCCTTTGTCAGCAAATTGGTAAATTCAAATAATTACTAAAAATAGTGATTTGCTCCGATCCCAGATCATAACCTTGCTTAATACTTAGTTATAACTTATAACAGTTAACAATTGCAGGTTTTGCATTTCATATTAGGCAAATGTTGCTTGACTTTAAGAAATACTTACAGATTAGACCTGGCTACTGTACATATACATATTTGCCTTGCCTTTGAATAGAAAACTGCTATGTATAATGTAAAAAATTATTAATTTCTCACTTTGTTGCATGCAATCCTTGGTTTAAATATTCAATCTTCACATATTCTGATTGATGTAACAATTCATATCATAAATCTGGAAATTATTCGTATAGTTTGTATTTAAAATTCTGGGATATTTTTGCAACTCCCTTATCTACAACATCAAGCATGGATTTTGAAACTTTACCACTGGGCTTTCCTCCCTCATCTAGTGGATAACAACAGGGAGACTCAGAAGATTTACTGGGATCCAACAGGCCATTTTTCAAGCAGAACCAGGCACCCTTCAATTGGTCATGAAAAGGAGCTTCAACCGAATGCCGGGTGGTTGAATGCACATCAAATCCAGCTTTGGAGGTATATGCTCCTCTGCTGGCTTTGAGAAGATCAATCGATCCCATCAATCTTTCACACATCTTCACTGATGTGTGGCCTACAAAGAAGTACATGTTTATGAATTATCTAGAAACACTTCAATAGCTGAATAAGGACTTGACAGGGTACATATATAATGATAAATATAGGCATGGGGGCAACTTAAATCTTTCAATTGTGAAGGAGCTTGTACTAAAGCGTGATTACTCATCCATGTTTTCTAGAAAAGTAACAAATTTAACCCATTAATTTGCAATACCAAACCAATGATTGAGGTTAACAGAAGACACTATCTCGCAAGCTAATGGGTTAAGTGAGTAATACTACATACAATGTGATCTAATTTTATATTCTTCCCTTTTCTATGGCAGTTTTGCATCAGAAAATAAAATAATTTTCTACCTGACATGTAGACTTCCACAAATGCAATTCAATCCCACATCCCTTTCGTCCAGACAGGTTGATTGAACAATTGTTTGACAACAAATTCCGGAATGCAAGTGGCCATTTACCAAGAAAGTTGGTAACATGAATAAAACTTTCAGAGTAGTAGTTTCTAAAGTTCAATTGTGCATAAATTGGCAACTGAAGAATATAGCTAGCTTCTCTCGCTCTTCCCCAGCAATGATTTGTTGAAATATCAAAAAGTTCCAACAAGGGGCCATAGAATAGGAACATTTGACTTCGGTACCGGAATGAAATGCTAGCAGATCTTGAGCGTTGAAGCCAGGCTTTAAAACGTTCCAAAAACAATTTTACATGACTACCGGTTGATCTAAAACATTGCCGTTTATCAACTTCTGAAGGGAACAGGTCTGAATCTTTGAACTCCCACACTGCTGCCAAACCATATGACCTAGCTCCATCTCAAACTGCCTCTCTTATCCTATCTAGGTTTCCTTCGGAGAACTTCTTCTTAAATGCTTCTTTTGTTAGCCACCACTCTTTAAAACATGCCTCCGCAAAATAACCTTTAGTGTGCAAATCGCCAGGTATAATACCAACCCATTGATAGGCATCCGACCTAGACATAACTCCTCGATTTGTCTTGCACGTTCCAACCTCTCCAACAACTCCAGTTATAAATCCGGGAGAGCCTCTTTTACAGTTCTCTTTCTTTTCATTGCCCTGACTTCTGGTTACATTCACAGATCGTTTGAAACCTGGATCATATGAAGCAATATCATCATCTTCTTGATCTGACAAACTTGGATCTAAAAGTTCATATATCTCTTCCAGTTCCATCTTCATTGCAACCGCAAGTGGACTTGGAATGTTAGTAAACAGTGGTCCACATGCCGAAGCTTGACTGTTGACTAACAGCTTACAGATTTCCTTGTTTTTGGTTATAACTGCAATGATCAATGGGGGTCACACCGCACATTTCCTTTAAATTGGGATTAACTCCTGCATGAAGGAGGCAATGTACAAGATTGACATTTTGCTATTCAACAGCCATATGCAATAATGATCGTCCCAGATGATCCCTTATAGTTCTTAGATGTTCAGTTTCTGATATCTCTTTAATAAATCGCTCAAGGGTAGTAGTTTGAATGGCATTCCATAGCTTATTTTTTAAAGAATCAAATGTGCTATTAAATACACAATCTTGTTTTCGAAACAATGTTTGGACAGCATTCACAGTTGTTTCTGGTCCAGAGACTCTATTCCTGTCAGTCTGTTCACCATCTTCATTTCCAGAATCATTATCATCATCGCCTTCACTAATATCACTTGATTCTTCATCAACATCTTTCCCTTCAGAGTTTTTTCCACATCTGACAATTGTGAGCTATAAAGTTCATTTTGCTCTTTGTGTTGACTCGTCAATATATTAAATTCAGCATGCTCTCTAGCTTTCTTCAAACAAAATGTTTTTGCATTGCTGTCAAATGGAAGAATCTCATCCTTGGAGACAGAAGGAATAGAAAACTCTTTTGCAAACTGATCTAATATAACACCAGTGCCAGCACGAGTGCTATTGTTCTCAAGAGAAAGAGGTAAAATTACAGTTTTGGAGATGATTCCAGAATTAGATTGGTCAATATAGTTTGCATTGGACTCAAACTTTAAATCATCTGTTATCTTATATAATTTATTCTTGAGACAATTATTGCAATCTTTTTCTGACATATCTTTAAAGGGAATGCTCGTTTCTAAAGACAGGCTATCTTTCAAAAGCTCAGTGATCTTTTTGGTTTTCCCATATTCTCAAATGTTCTGAATTGTTTTCAATGGCAAGGTTTTCAAAGGTGAACTCTTTCACATCATGTTGACTTTGCATTGCTATGTCCTTGCATGAGAACAGGTGCTTAATTTCATATATGTCAGGAATAGACCACGTATAGTGAAATTCCACATGTTCTGGCCATAGATGCTGAATAGCCGACGATGTCGTTTGTTGCCTTGGTAAATATTTATATTATCCATGAGAAGCAACAAAGGGATCTCTTGTGGTGTTAAAGATTTAACATAGGAAATCTTTTTCTCTAATTGCTTGTCAAGAAAGTTCATCAGGGTGTCCCAATGAAGGGTGAAGCCAATTTTGTTGAGCATTTTAATCATTCTGCATCCAGCACCAAATGAAACAAGCATTAATGAAAAAATTAATGTTATATCATTTCTGCATTGCTTATTTCTAAGACTCGCCAGAAGAGCAAGTGCATGTACTGCTCCCTTTTCTTTCTTATCAGATTTTCCAGTAAGGGGAAAAAGTACATGAAGTATACCAGTCAGAATGGGGCAGTCCAATTCAACATGATCTTTGAGGTTTTCAAATACCATGCTATTCAGTTGTACCTCAGCAACATTCTCCCCACTTCTGATACCCAAGTTAACAAATGTTTCCATTTTTTAAATTCTTCAACCAGACAACTCTTTTCACTAGGATCCAACACTTTCTCATGTTCTAATAGATATTTCAATTCATTCTCATACATAATATCAATGTTGTCCGAGAGTTTTGAAACACAATCCATTTCTTTGTTGTATAAAGAAATGAGACTGCTCGCATATGGATCATTAACTGACGACTTTATAGTAGCCATTAAAGCATTGGCTTTTTCTTTGTGTGAAATAACTTGTTGTTGCAAACCATATATTTCTGAATTTGTTGCAACTTCGTATGAAGATCCATCAGTGCTGCTTTCATAGGAAATGGAGCGACGGATATTTCTATATACACCCTTTCGACGATCACTAACTGCACTACTGAATACTTGTTTCACTGACCTGGTGGCAAGGTTTTTGTTATCTGTTCCAAGTACATTCAGGACATCAGCATGACTTGCTACTTTCCCAGGACTTTTAGGACCAGAAATTTAACTTTCAGAATATCCTTTAAATTCTCACTCCTCGTTTTGCATCTCACTCCTCATTTTGCTAAGATTAGACTTTTTCTTTGGAGGTTCAAACTCTGACGGGTTCAAACTCAGACGATGCTTGCTACTTTTCAATGGTGTGCTAGATGTGCAAGGGACGAAACACTCTGCGGCATCTACAGATAATGGTGTATCTGCAACAAAGGGAGGGCATATTGTGAATTTGCACAAGAAATAAAATTATTGTTTTCATGAGATGAAATTGATGCATTTTCAGCTTTCAAATACTATATTTGTTATCTTCAAATAAATACAAATATATATTGTATATGCATGATGCAGGTTGTAGTCAATTCTAAAAGAAATATAATAGTATAGCTTTTTTGTGATAATTATAGACTGATTGTTTATATCTGCATATAAATAATAAATATTTATCAAAGGTCAACATAGGGCTTTAATTAAGATTACATTTATAAGATTTAATTTATTGCAAATATATAAAAACTAAATTAAATTAATAACTTACCATCATCTATCGATGTGTTTTGAAACGAAATGTTTAATACATCGACTTCGCAATTCTCAGTAGACAAATTGAGGACATCCCCCTCCTGACTCGACCGGTTATTTTGATTCAATTCTGCCATCCCATCAACACAATATTATACCAAAATGTCCTCACATTATCAAATAAAATTTAAAACAGAAAGGATTGTTGAGAAAATATACGGATGCTACAGATATCGCCAATTTGTCACAGATATCGACAGAAATTGGGCAGAGGCTTCCGCTATTTTTTCCCTTCCCTTCCCCTCGCGTCGATTCTCAGCAGTTGTCTTCATACCAGATACTTTCTAGCGCAATTTCAATTGCTTCGAATTTCATATTCTTTAAAACTATAAAAGCCTCTGCGGAGGAGAGAGTCAATTTTCCAAAAGGAAACCAACTCTTGGAAGTGATTGAGGGCTATGAGAAAACATGGGGTTTTCCCATGTGCAGGGGCTATTGATGGCACACACATACCAATCCTTGCTCCATGGGAAAACCATGTAGAGTATGTTAATCGAAAAGGCTATCAGCATTCTAATGCAGGCTGTGGTCGATTGCAATTACCTTTACAGAACCATGACCACTGCTAGTGAGTTCTTTCATCTTTTTTTAGTGCAGAAATGTTAGCTAGTATAGTAACACTTATACAAACACATATGCTTACAATAACATTGCATCGGGTTCACACTATACCTACACAATGGTTGACGGTAGTTGAAGGAAACCACCCCTGGGGAGGTAGGTAGACTAATTGCCCTTCTTTATTTTGGTCTAGTTTGGGTAAGTACACAGTTTGATTGTTGGAATACTAAGTTCCTGTATCATGGATTGTGGGCCCAGGCCATAATGTCAATGGATAGGTTTTAGTGCCCTCGTGACCTTTTTGCATGTTGTAGACCCAAATACTGAAGACCCCAGGGATAAGTTGTGGAAAGTAAATGTGTTCATCACCTGTTTCAAATCCTGGTGCCTTAGTTTGTACCAGCCCAAACAGAATCTTGTCATTGATGAACATATGGTTAAATGCAGGTACATATCTGGCATTAGACAGTATATCAGGGATAAGCCCACTAAGTGGGGGTTGAAACTTTGGGTTTTAGCCGACAGCAGTAATGGATATACCGTTGACTTTGATGTGTATATTGGGAGGCATGCTTCGGAAACTATTAGCAGTAATAGTCTGGGTACGATGTAGTTATGGAACTAATTCAACCTTTTTGCCATCAGGGCTATCATTTGTTTTTTGATCATTTTTATTCATCAATTGTTCTTTTCAGAGATTTATTTGATGTCGGTGTGCTGGCAACTGGGACAATATCGGAGAACCGCAGACAATTCCCAGTGAGCATGAAGAATGGAAAGCAGTGGGCAAACAAAATGGAAAGGGGAAGTATGTCCTGGGAGAGGGTTCCTCCCTGCCTTTGTTTACAGTGGATAGTACTAACCCTAGATAATGAATAGAATCAAACACACTGGTGGGGATAGGGAAAGTGGGCCTCCTTACAGCTACGGGGAGGGGTTAGCAAACTCAGAGAGCCCACAAATTTGCCTGATAACCTCCTCCCTAAAATTACGGACTTTGTACCTGGGGGAAATTCTTGAAAGAGAATTAAACAGTTTGCAATATCAATGAGATGGAAGAACAAGGTTTTCCGCCATTGCAAGCACTTATGCATAACATTAGTACCTATGAGTTGATCCGAACGATCTACTCCATTCATATACTTATTGTACCTATCAATGGCCTTGGGTTGGTCAACTATTACATTAGTCCATACATCACCTGTCATAGTCTTTCTTTCAGTTGGAACCTTATCATTAGCATGTGCCACAGTTTACAGATTTTATGAGATGGTGCACAGTTTGTTACAAGCAGGGTAGAGGTGAGTTCAAGGTGCACACATATTGTAATGCCCCACAGTGTGGTAAGTATCTACATGTAACTAGGGGGAGAAATTGTTTTTTGGAATGGCATAATAGTGCATATCATGAATAATTAACATATACATGATCTAATATAAATGATATCAAAGATTTTGTTAGTATCCTACTCGATTGAATAACAGTTGAAATATTTTGTAGATGGAAATTATTAATGGTAAATTTACATACATTCATACATTTATTAGACCTAACCAGGAACAGCTACAAAAAATGCAACTATAGGTCCATGGAATCGAAGGACAGGGCCCCAGGTTTGATTTCTGCCAGGGACTTGTAGTCGCATTTTTTCACAGCTGTTCCTGCATAGGTGTAATAAAAGTATATAAAGTCACCTCAATAATTTCCATGTACAATATCCTTCAACTGTAATATAAATAATGATAACATATACAAAAAAGGAAAATATACAAAAAAAGTGGATTATATACAAGGGGGTTGTGTGTGGAGATCCAGATTCAATAAGTGAATGATGTGTGGAGATCCTGAAGCACAAAAATCAAAGTGCAGGAACATATATAATGTATCACAGACAAAATATTCTCTGCATACTAATACTTTCTTGCATACATTTCAACATAAGACACATCTATGTCTACTATTGTTTTTACTAAATTTTGATGGTTTTGAGAAGGGTTATTCAAGCAGCCATAACTTTTTTCTTTTTATTCCTTTTCAGCCATACTTGTTGGACATGTTGCTAATATATAAGTGCAACTTCTACTTTTACTATACATTGCAATATATGGAACATAGATAAGTTTATGTCTAATATTTGAAGACACATGCACATTTATTTCAAAATGTACTGCTTTTTTTTCAAAAGTGAAATAAAATTTTGATAGCCTATTCAATAAGCTTTAAAAAGAGGCACAGCTTGTTTTGTAGTTGTGGATACTTGTTGAGAAATAAGCTGAGGGGAAGGTGCGCTCAATTTATGGTGTTTTTGACCAGTAGTGAAAGAGTTAAGAGGCTGTCTCCCTAAAAACCAACCAACGAGCTTTAATGCCAAAAATGATTTCCTCTTGTATTTTGTCCATGAACTGTGTTTGCTTTAGTAAGATTTTAGCCGGTTTTAGAATTTTCAAATTTTATTTCATTTTCGAATTTTAGCTCATTTAACATGTGTGGCGGCATTAGTGAAATTCGGAACGTAACGCCGCCCATAAATTTTGCATGAAATTTAACATTTTTTTCAGAATTCCAACAAGAACTATTCTTTATTAAACATTCCATAATCAACTTAGGGCTATACAATATTATTAAGTATATTTTTTTATATTTAGCAGACGTAGTTTTTTGTCACTAAATTCTTTGCCGTCTAGTGCGTGATTTGAATCTAAAAATTATCGAAAGTGGCACCTATCTGAGCTTTGGGATACATTGATTGTGAAAAAGCAATCATTGAAGCTAAATAATCCACAATAAAACTTGTATGCAAAAGAAAATTGAATGAGAACAAAATGCTGAAATACGAGCAATTTGTGGGTTGTTTGTTTACCTGTCAATGTGCGGAAATCTCTTTGATGTTTAAAACAAGACAGTTTCAAGTAGTCATTACAGCTGGCAAACTTGTGATTCATAGTCAGACACTCGCAATAAATGTTCTCCTCTTTGTTAGAAGTAATTTAAGTTTTTGTGGATGCTCCTAATCCACAAACATTCAACTATTGAAATGTTGATATGCAAGTTTGAACTGTCTAAGAACTGACAAGCGTTCTTCAACAAGAAACTGATTTTCTTTAGGTTTTGTTTGCAAGTAGTAGCTATCCTACCTATACTAGAATCAATCCATAAACCTCCGATTTAACTTCCTGGAATTATATACAAATTCTTGATACGGTACCGGAAATTTGTGATAAAAAGTCGATAAAAAATGTTGATAGTTAAATACGTTAGTCGTTACGATGCGCAAAATAGTGCTTGCTCAAATCACCCGACTTTCATATCTTACGATACCCAAACTAATGTTTACTTTAAATCAATTCAGCGCTCTTTCACTATTTGGTAAAATATATATTCCAACAGAGATTAAGCATCTTTTGTTAAACTAGTAAACCCGCCATTCGGCTAAAACTTGAAATATTTAAACAAACGCTTCTCTCAAGTGGCATCTATCCTCGTCTTGTGATAGATATTCTACAAATAAACAATATAATAGTTAAAGATATAATATGAAGGGAGAAAAACAAGTTGTATGCAAATGTCGATTGTTTTGTGATGGACGACTTTCAAATTAGACTATTTTTAACTTCTTTGTTTACATTCATAAGCAGAAGTTGCATGACATACGAACACGCGCATCTTTATTTATAGCATCAGCCTAAAAAATCTTGTTCTTGCAGTTCAAATGTTTCACATGTGCAGTTCAAATGTTTCACCTGTTTTTCTCCGTTGGGAATTCTATTTTGCTTTTTACACATGTAAGATATCAATTACTCTCCAGATACATTACTATACATCTAATCACGATCTAATGTGAGCCATACTCTTGGAAAGTGGATTTTCGCAATGGAAACATGTTGCTCTCTTTCTAACCTGGGAAATATTGAATGCGGCGAAAGTCGTGGGATGAGTACCAACGTAAATTTGCTTGAGCGCACAGAGGATATCCATAATCATCTGGTCAGTTGCCATCTTTCGAAATCTAGTTTAAAAGAGTACAAACTTATCCTGGCGAGAGCTGGATTATTTCACCTGGAAAATGAGCAACTGAAGAGTATGGTAGTTTTCCCAAATCATCGAAACATTCTTGGTCGATTTTGGAGACCTCTTCGTTCCTGTCAATATCCCGCACATGCAGGGAAAAAACGCTGTTACAAAGGGAGAAATGTTGTTAATCTTCAGCTATCCGAGGAAGTGCACAAACTGTTTGGAACGCTTGTTCAGATTGGATCTCGTAAGCATTTTAAACAAGCAGGCAAGGGTCGGCTGTACGAAGGCCGTATAACGCTATTTAAAACGGTTGTAAAAGTGTTTGAAAAGCAATTAATGTACTGATATGGACCTTGCAATTAACAAAAAGAAGCTTTAATTCATAATTACTAAAGTTTAATCTGGGTTATATACCAATCAACCAACACTTTTAGAAAATTTGAAAAAATTACTATCCAACCTTCGTACAACCGGCCCTTGTACGACGTCAACATTTGCTTGCTGTAAGGAGGGGGAAGGGTGGCGGAGGCTTGGAACTTTTCTATAGCAGCATTTTGCCCACACACCCCAAACCTCATCCCCAGGCCGTTGCCGACAACGCAGGTACCCATGAAGCCCAGGGTACGAGGTTGATGATACGTCAAAAATGCTTAATAAAAGATATTAGAATATGAAGTTTTAAACGTGGTTTTTATAATTTAATTTTAAATTTTAATTAAAAACCACCCAGGGGAAGACAACTTTTTACTTGAAGTCTGGAACCCATAACAATAATTGGTTCTTTTGATAGCTATTTGTACACAGTGTCTGAAATGTCACCTGGAAAAAATAAAGAAAGAAGATACGTGGACCAGCTTCCGTGCAGCATTCACAAGACCAGGGACTAAACTCGAAAGCTGCATGTTTTCGTCCGCCAAGGTATACTTCCTCATTATTAGGAAGCGTATAAATTTAACAACAGCATTATACAAAACTGTAATTTAATTTATTGACAGGCAAACTCGTACGTCAAAAGTTGACCACAGTCTGTTGAGTAACCTATCTCTTGAAGAACCACATGAATCCTTCGCTGGTTCACAAATCTGGACACCCACCTGTTGGAGCAGGAACGGCAGCGATACAAGCTCGGCAAATGAAACCCCTGATAAATGTGATCAAGCAATCTTGGATGTTTATAATGAAAGTTTAAAATGCGTAGCAAACAGTGCTAATCTTGAACAACCTCAGCCCCTCCAATATCGTCTAAGTGGTGATTGGGAAACTGCGACAAAGAAGAAAAAGCAAGAATGCAAAGAAAGCTACTGAGGCATGCAAATTGATCTGCAACGTCATTGCTCCATCAGATGGGCAAAAACTATTCCAGGCCATAAACATTGCGAAATCGGAACCATCTAAAGAAACAATTGCACTAATTACAGCTTTTAATAATACTCCTACTACAAATTTGAAAACACAAATTCTCAGTATATATGCTTACGAACATTCCATTAAATCTTTACAAGAGCTTCATGAGCCTTTTGGAAAATTAACGAAGTGGCAAATTAAGAGAGCTCGAATACACGCCTGCACAAATGAATCGGGAGTCGCAGTGGTCAAATCACTATGCCATCGTGTAAATCTAGATATTACAAAGGTTGACCATTTCATAGATTTTGTAAACCGGCCTTACTTTCATCAGGACGTGGCTTATGGAGTGAGGACACTGAAGCTTGAAAGTGGTGAAACAATACAGATGCCAAATGTTATTCGGACAGTGACAAGGTCGACAATGGTTTCTCAATATTTCCAGTTTTGCAAGCAGGAACAATATCAGTCACTAAGCAGGTACACGCTTTTCTGCATTTTAGAAGTTAGAGAAGCATCGCAACGCAAATCTTTGCAGGGTCTCAATAACACCGCCACGGATGGCTCAATGGCCTTTGAAACCCTAACATCAATTGCAGAACAACTTACAACAGTGGGCTTGAACAAGACGTGCACACGAAGCATTGTCAAGAGGCTTGAAAAGGCAAAACAATACTTAAAGACTGGTTACAATGCAAATTGCCAAGCCACTGAGAGTCACTATGCAGACCACTGTAGGCCCTTTGCATTAAGTGACCCTGACATTAAGGACTTTCAAATCAAGTGCACGCATCAGCATTTGTTGATATGTGAAAGCTGTGAGGAACTCAAGACTACACTGGATGAACTGGAGAAAACAATAAAGGAACATTCCGAAAGTTCGTTTACTCAGGATCCTCGAGAAACCCTTCTCCATTACTTTAAAGAAGCACAAGATTACATATTGAGATGGAAGGCACACATTGTTAGATCGGTCAATCAAGAGTTAGCAAAACAGGATGCTTTGGAAAACATGGATGATTCATCAGCTTTTTAAAGCTATTAAAATAGTGATGGACTGGGCAATGAAGTACATGCAGATGAGATATAGAGAAAAGCAATCAGATTGGTATGGGAAGCGCGGAATGAGTTGGCATGTTAGCAGTGTAGTAAAAAAGGAGGCAGGCAGCGAAATGGTAAATGTTACTTCATGTGTTCATCTGTTCGATCCATGCTCACAAGATTGGTTTGCAGTAGCGTCGATTATTGAGGACCTTCTTGGCAAGATCAAATCCGACATTCCCAGCGTGAATCAAATCCGACATTCCCAGCATTCGCAGCAATAATGAATAATCGCTGCCCTGAGGGATATTAGTGATCATGTTGGTATATCTGTGCAAAGCTATGATTTCTCAGAACCCCAGCAAGGAAAGGACATATGCGACTGAATCACTTGCCCACTCAAGTCTTGTATTCGTCGCTATTGTGATGAAGGCAATGACGTTTTAAGTGCCAAGGACATGCAGGCCGCCCTTACCAAATGGCCAGTAAAAGGGACGACATCATCTGTAAATCGCCTGAATGGAGAGGTAAAGCATCTTGAAGTCAAGAAGCTTCAAAATTTCAGTTCGTTCCATAATTTTTGCTACACCAAAGATGGTGTCACCATATGGAAAGCATATGGAGTAGGCGAAGAGAAATACATTCCAAACAAGAAAATTTACATCACTCACCAAGAGGCAACGCAGTTAAACATCAGTGAGATGTTTCCACCGGTAAGCATACCAAGCCGTCCACAGGTCATTTCTGAAGATGACAGGGAATCTGGCAATGAAGAAGCTACCGGATTGTTTGACTGTCCTGAGTTGAACTGTAATTACGTTTTTGAATCTCTCGAGGAGCTAGAACTTAATATTGGACTTGGGCAGCATAGTTGTTTCATAAATAATGAAAATGTCTATGACACTTTGAGAAGAGAATGGGCCCTCAGATACACGACAGTTTCCACGAATCTGTCATCAGATCCCTCTATGGAATCACCGCTCGAGCAAGGAAATGACAAACTAAAAATGGGCTGGGCCTTGGCCAAACAGCTTTGTGGCAAAGTTCTCTTTTCACCATTAGTCCTTCAATATTTAATGGCAAAGTTTGATTATGGAGAGAGGACGGGACAAAAGTATGACGCAGTTCAAGTTGCCTTGGACATGAGGTGTGCGCGAAATGAATGTGGCGGAAAAAAAAATAGATCAGATATCTAGAATAAACTAGGTATCCAAGAATAGTGTGAAGTTTCAAATTGAAAAAGACACTGCAAGAACTATATAGGGTCGCCGACAACCTAGAAAAGCTGATGACTTACGCTACGAAATAAACAGTTACCAAAGGCATTTCATCTCATTATTTATTGCTTTTAATATGCTCGGCACACAAACAAGCCTAACACATCAGAGACTTGCCTTGTGAAACTGATGCAATTTATCTATTTATTGTGATGCTACACACGACAAATCGAAATTTAAATTGTTTTACCAAATTTAAATTGTTTTACCATTGCATTTGCAGCTGTCGCTAAAAGCATCCCCACGAGGCTACTGCTATGCTAAATTTGTCTAAAACTATAATTGAAATAGCTGTATAAGATATGTTATGAATAATAAGCACCACGTCACTACATCATTAAAAGGACGCGTTTTATCCTCATCCGTTCCGTATTTTATCCGCATATCCGTTCCGCGGATCTGCTTCATCCGCTTCCGCATTTTAACCTAATTGTGACATGTTTTACAATAACAAGTCTCATTGACCTTTGACTTTTCCCAGTGTCACGTCTACTTTCAGCTTTTCGCATGTGTTGAATAATGTCACTTTAAATTTCAATAGTTTCACAGTTTTAATAAGCAGTGTTTAAAGCAGTTTTGACAAGCTTTGATACAGTTCTGTGTACAGAATACTACAGATTGATTCTCGTACGATCTGGTAGAGTTATCGTTGAACTGTACACGAATTTGCACCGTTGACAACGGCATTGTGCTAGACAGTAAACAAAGGTCAAAGACAAGGTCCGTGACGGTACACGTTGGCTACATGTACCTCTTTGCTTTTTTCTTCTATTGCATAAAGCTTGTTGGCAATAACACGTTGGCGATAACGCATTCGCTATCTCCTCGTCTTTCTTATTTAAATAAGGAGCTCTGACTCAACTGATTTCTTTAATAGTCTCGCAAGTTATTTTCTTCGTAAACGCCATACAAACGTTTACCCGCTTCTGTTTAATAGTTGTTTATGCTTTATTGATCTGATACAGATCTGATGCAATTTTTCGCTCTTTGTACTGAGTGTAGCCATCTATTCTGTGATTTAGCACCTTATACAGTCAACGGCAATGTATAATGAATACACGGTCTAAATACTATCGATGGGCACTTACCTGAATGCCAGTAATGCATAACATAAATTTACATATTGTATTGCGTAGAATCTCAAACATTTTCTCTATATTCATGTCTGAAATGCTTGAAAACAACACTGTGTCGCTTCTGCCCATGTACTGTACCTTTGTATAATGAGTATGCCATGAAAATAATATCGGTACTCAATTGAATGCCTAGAATGTCAATTGTCAAAGATTTTCGACTCAATATTTACGTCTGAAATGTTTATACACTTGACTGCACTGTCTAGCTCCTTCCTAGCTCTGTATAATGAATATACCGTCTAAATATTATCGGCACTTAAATGAACGCCCGTAATGCATAAGATCAATTTGTATTTCGCGTAGATTTTCAAAGATTTACTCAATATTCACGTCTGAAATGTTTATACATCTGAAAACAGCACTGTCACTCCTTCCTAGCATATCGTCACGCCATCGTGATCTATGGCTTGATAGCGCATGTGCATTTGCACTACTAAAGAAAAAATCGGGTGTTCCGGGGTAAAGATCCTTTACACAACATGAGAAGCGAATGTTGTAAAATTTACAAAATATTACAATAACGAAAGCGACTCCTCAAAATTTTTGTGAACCTGGCAAAAGGATAACAGAATATGGAAATAAGTTAACTGAAATTGCCTAAATAACCTTCAAAGTACTGACTAAGTACAATAAATCACTACGAACATAAATCGTATACACCCCCCGGAAAGTTTACTCTATGACTGACTGTTTGACTGACTGACTGATTCGTGTGAATTTGCCAGCCATGACAATAGTGTGAAGTGAAACTTCACACTAAAAATCAGATATCTAGATTTTTCTCCAGACTTGCCAAAAAAAAGCGAAATGGAAAGTTATCTTCAGGTGACAACTCTTTGACGGCAGATTCTCAAGAAAAGGAAATGGATGGAGAAGATAATGGTGAGGAAGAAGAGGAAAGGAGAAATCTAAGAAATTAATGCGACTCATCCTATATTCTATGATTCGTATGACTTGTGTGCACTACATCGTGGAAAGAAACTTTTTGTTTTCAAGGTGGTTATGCTGAAGGAAATTTGCCATCACTTCGAGCTTACAATTACGACAAGAGACAGGAAAGACGATCTTCTCGCTAAAATTCGGAAAATTATACAAAATTGCACTTGTTCCGCAGAATAACTCTACTCTAAGAATGAATAACAATTATTAACTCTTATTAACAATTATTTGTCACTAATATTATTGAACTGACCGCTCCGGATGGGATTAGTGAACACAATGAATGTTTTGATGATATACCAGCTGTTTTATAAAAACCAATTGTACGTGGCTTTCACATTATAAGAATGTATTTTAACTTTAAAAAATGTAAAAGGGGTCTTATTTGGGGAAAATCAGAATACATCTATATGCTGCCCACCATCGATCTCTACCCTGGCATAATGGCATTTACTCCAATAATTTGTTCTTTAATTTATTATGTTGTTTTAGGCCTGCGTGACTTTGTATGCCAGTACAACTTCTGCTTTCGAATGTAAACAAAGAAGGTAAAAATAGTCTAACTTAATACAAGTCACTAGTCACGATTTTCGTCTGATATATATTTCGAGATATCTTTAACAAGAATATATATTGTAGAATATATATCACAAGAGCGACAAGACGAGGATAGGTGTCACTTGAGAGAAGCGTTTGTTTAAATATTTCGAGTTTTTGCCGAATGGCAGGCTTATTCTTTTCGGTATCCGGTCGTTTTGCCCCCAAGTCGATTCGCCCCCAGTTGTTTCACCCCCAGGTCGATTCACCTCAAGTCGTTTTGCCCCCAAGTCATAACATGTCAATTTGTATTTGTAAGAACACCCCAAAACTTATTGAATATTTGATAAAGCTTTTTTAGCAAAATATATGAATTACAAACTAACGAACTAGCCCATAGTTGACAAAACGTGACATTTCAAACGACAGCAAAAGCGTGAAAAGGTTTTACAAAGTCGGTGATCAACGCATTGATTAGTTTTTACAATGCATGAACGGAGTATACGGAACAATTCCCGAAACGGTGATTAATTTTTGACAATAGCTGAACGAAAGAATTCACAGCTTTCACGGTTTCAAAATGAAAGAATATTAAATTATAAATAAAAAAATGACTCAATCCCGGTATTACTCATCTTCAAATATGCATGGAATATGTATGCGAAGCGTTTAATAGGGAAGCATTTCACTTCAGCTGACTTCCGAAGCTTTAAAAGATCATTGTGATTTGCGTTCACAACTGTTGCAAAGTTAGAATGTCCATGCTGTAAAACGATAAGGAAAATAAATCATTTTACTTAGTTTACCTTCTGTTGTTTAGGGGGCGAAACGACTTGGGGCGAAACGACTTGTATTCAATTAAAGATGCTTCTCTGAGGTTTATGGAATATGGATATGATTCTAGTATAGGTGGATAGTAGCTACTTGCAAACAAAATCTAATGAAAATCTGTTTCTTGATTCGCACTATGTAATGAAAGAGTAAAAACAAATTATCTGTTATCTGTAAGAACGCTTGGTCGGTCAGTTGGAGCATGCAGTTCAAACTTGCACATTAACGGAGGTTTGTCTTGTTTGTTTTGTTTAATTAATATGTTGAATGTTCGTGGATTAGGAGCATCCACAAAAACTTAAATTACTTCTAACAAAGAGGAGAACATTTATTGTGAGTGTGTGACTATGAATCACAAGTTTGCCAGCTGTAATGACTACTTGAAACTGTCTTGTTTCTAACATCAAAGAGATTTCCGCACATTGACAGGTAAACAAACAACCCACAAATTGCTCGTATTTCAGCATTTTGTTCTCATTCAATTTTCTTTTGCATACAAGTTTCATTGTGGATTATTTAGCTTCAATGATTGCTTTTTCACAATCAATGTAACCCAAAGCTCAGATAGGTGCCACTTTCGAGAATTTTTAGATTCAAATCACGCACTAGACGGCGAAGGATTTAGTGACAAAAATTACGTCTGCTAAATATAAAAAAATATACTTAATAATATTGCATAGCCCTAAGTTGATATGGAATGTTTAATAAAGAATAGTTCTTGTTGGCATTTCTGAAAAAACTGTTAAATTTCATGCACAACTTCCTGAGATATGATGAGCGAATTACCCGGGATTTATGGGCGGCGTTTCGTTCCGAATTTCACTAATTCCGCCACATGTTAAAATGAGCTAAAACTCGAAAATGAAATAAAATTTGAAAATTCTAAAACCGGCTAAAATCTTACTAAAGCAAACACAGTTCATGGACAAAATACAAGAGGAAATCATTTTTGGCATTAAAGCGTGTTGGTTGGTTCTTAGAGAGACAGCCTCTTAATACTTAGTAAATCGAAGCTTACCTCATGCATGAAAATCCTTAGCTCATCTATATGTTCTGGAAGACTTGTAATATTTAGATAGCCAATTTTAAAGCCTTTTAATTTTGGATAAGGATCATTAACAAGTTTTACTGTATCATTTGCAGAGTTAATACCAGCATTATCGGAGCTGAGTGCTGGAATTTCTTTACACAGTCAATGCACATTGTTACTCACATGTTTGATATTTTTTGCTAGGACCACCAAACCACTCTCATTTAGATGAAGTCCATAATTATTTAAATGACCTTTCTTTACATTAGTGTTTTCGATGAGTCCCCAATTTCGTTCTATGCAGAAGTTAGCTAAAAGTTCATTATCTAGATTTATCTTATCAGCTAAACTTTTGTCGTACCTTCTTGTTATAATTTCTGATAACGTAAGCTTGATGTCTTTGTTCTGCATAATCATCTCACCAAGGTCATCTACAGATTTAAGCAAGGTATTGGGTGACTTCTTTCTTCAAGTCGTTTGTACCAATATGTAGAATAACTTCGGCTGGTTGTGCGGTTAAAATTGGTTTCACATAATGGCTCATGTTCTCTTATGTTTAAGCCCATGTTGTAGTCTTCTATGGTTCAAATGCTTTATCATTGAATTTCCTAGGATGGCAATCTTTCATTGTCATGCGGATGCTAGGTTGTTGATTCCTTTATTTTTATTACTGTATCTGTAAAGTCCAGGGTATTGTGGTTTACTGGGCAACTTTGCTTTAGGTATATGATGCGAAGAGTGTTTACTTTTCCTCCAAGAAGAATTTTCTATAACTTGAATTTTGTCATCACTATTGTCCACTTCTCTGTTGTCCTCAATATGCAAGGCTGAATATTTGTTGCTATTATTCAATTCAGGGTTAATTGGATCACTTTTCGTTTTGCAATGTGCTTCACCCATGGGTGTTGTTGGGCTTTAGATTTATCATTCAGTGGCTGCATATTTCCTTCTGTGGTCTCCAAGTCAGTGTATAGGATTTTTAGCGTGGTTTTGAGGCTCTGTTTCTCGCTCTGTAGGTCTTGAATCTTAGAGTTGATGTCTGCGCTAATGTGTATGACATGTTGGTGTTTTTCTCATCCCTTAGGTCTTGATTTTCTTTCATTAATAGATTGGCTATCTCATTCGTAGCAACACTCTCATCATTTCATTAACTTCAGATGCAAGTTTGTTGATTTTCAAGTTTGTTGATTCAATAAACTTTTCCATTTTGTTTTTAAACTCTATTTGTGAATAGTCTACTTGTTGAGTGGTTGCTTGTGATGCTTGAGTGATCACTGTACCCAAGGGACTTTTTGCTTTAGCCTGTAGGTTATGCAAATTATCTCCTTGTTCTTTATCACTGGTTGACTTTATTCACACTACTTTGTTCTTCTTATCTCCTGCAAATGTTAGCGAACCTGACGTTGAATACCATCGTATTGTAAACCCATTATCTTCACACACCTTACAACTCCCACCAGGGGAGATCCGATTTTGAGTATTGCATAAAATTGCAAAGCAATTTTTCTAAAACTTGCGAAGCTTCTTTAGTAATGCTTGATATCCAGCTTTCTTCCATTTCACTGGAATGTCGCAGAATGTGTGGAGCATCTCATTTTTGAGTTCTGCGTGCATGCTTCAAACTTAAAGTGCTGCAAGGAATGCGACATGTTAGGTTGACATCACAGCTGTCAACTTGCTAGTTGAAAAAATAGCATTTCAAGTTCAAAGGTGAGAACAACAATTCATTGTTTGTTTAGCCATTTGGTTCACTGGTTAACTGTTAATTTAAAGTTATATAACTTGCATCAAGATAGCTGATAGAAATCATAGAAAACGTGCATAATTTGTAATTGGGAGGACCATGCCCAATTGTGAATTATCCCTAAATCTAATGATTGAAATTTAGTGTTGTTAAGGCTGCTTTCCAGTTATGGGATTTTCATATGCGTGCCATGGCCAGAAATTAATGTCGCACATGCGCTTATGACAATTCAATTTGTTCTATTTAAATGTTTTAATTTTCTATGTAGAACACAGGAGTTTCAACGGAAATATCAGCTCATTTTGTTAAAATACTTTATCATCAAAATGTATCACTTGGTAATTAAACTAGTGATAAAAACCTATTTGTAAAACGAAAAGAAACAAGTTTTTTTTTCTGCCAGTGATCAAGTAGTTTCTGGCAAAAAAAGATCGGCAAAAACTATTTTAAAATAGTTGAAAAGCTGTAATAAACAGTAAAAAGCCTTGCTACATTTGTGTTTATAATTGAAAACAAAACACAGATTGATTTAAATATGAAGAACCAAAAACCGTTCACAATGTCTAAAACAAAGCCTTTTTCGAGACATAAAATGATAAAACAAAATAGTTAAAACAGTATAGATAACCTCGGTTTTATCAATTTTACCTTGGGTGAACCTTTTTTATCCTAGCGGAACCAATCTACCGCAACTAAACAAGACATAAAACGTCAAAACATGTGTTTTTTGCTTCCTTTTTCGCCAAAACAATATCAAAATTAGAATACTTGATATCTTTAATCTAAGTCAAGTTTTGTTAAATCTGATGGAGGAAAGTGGTGATTCATCCCCACCCACAATTAATATATCAACAGAAGTTCCGGAAAGCCAACAATGCTTTGTCAAACATATAGAGTCGATCGACAACCCAGTGCTATGGTGACTGGAAGTACCGTACACTTTGTTGCATTTGTGGTCAGGCGCAGATTCATTTACAAAAAAACTGAATAATGCAATGCCCGATATTTTATTACCAGTCAAATCTAATAGTCCCAGAATAGAAGAGAGAGTTTGCGGGTTAAGGCAACAATGGTAGCACAAGATAAAGCAATGCGCAGGGGGATGCACTGCCAAAAAGTTTGACAAAAAGGTTTTCAAAATGCCAGTGCTTTCCTCGGTGGTTACACGTCTTATGGAGCTAATGGCGAATAACGAAGCTCTGGTAAGGGAATGGAGGAAGCAGTATGAAGATTTAGAAGAGGAAAAGGAGCGACTTTATTATGAAATGATGGAGGGAAGTTAGAGTCAGCAAACAGGAAAGTGATAAAGTACAAAAGGAGAATGTCCATTTACATCAGCATGTCAAAACATATGTAACAGAGAAAGGGTTGTCATGTCGGGGGTCAAAAATAGCAGAGATCATATTTAGTCAAACAGCTGAGAAGTTCTCTCAACACTTCCTGCCACCTTTCACGTACAACTGGACCAGCATATGGAGCGTAGTATTCTTTTGAAGATTTCGTTGGTTTCAAGGGTCACTTGTCAGGTGAGCTACATAGTGTACATATTTATATGTACACTATTCAAAAGTAGTTATCACATTAAACTGTTGTATTAATATCATAAGTACATTTAAAATTTTCCACAATCAAAGTAAAAAAATAGTCTTTCTAATATACCAAATATTTATTCAAAAAGGTCAATTAGCATTTCATCATCAAATGAACTGCTCAAAATAGCATGGTTCTTTTCAACAATTCTTTTTCTCCTCTTAACTTTCGATCTGTTCTCTTTTTCTCTTCTAGCTTTCCTTCTCTTCTAGCTTTCCTTCTCTTCTCACACTTGCTTACCTCACCCACATCAACCTCTTTTGTAACTGAACCATAACATGGCGAACATTATGCATCATACGCTCAGACCCTGTTTACACTAGAGGGAAAGATTTCGGATTCATCACAAAACTGAAACGTTTTGGCATCGGATTCATACATGCGTTTACACATACAGCGACGTATCCGGTTGAAAATCATCTCGGTTGTAGGACATATCGGAAAACATTGAATCCGGGAAAAAAAGTAGAAACTTTGTATCCAGAAACATGTTAATCCGAGACAATTCTATGTGTAAATGGCTCTAAACGGAAATTTGAGTTAATCAGCAACCTTTTTTTGCCCGCGAAAATACGAGTTTGCGGTTTTACCATAAAACCAACATGGCGAAAGTTATTGTTTTGTTGTCTTTGGTTTCTTGTTTAATTCTATTACAAGGAAGTATTGTAAATTTTGTAGTGGCCACGGGTATATTTTTAAGAATGCGAAAGTTATTGCAGAATGCTATTTTAATTTCTGCAAAACTAGTATGAAAACGAAGTGGCAAAACCGACGACCTCGATTGTGTGTAAACGGATGAATCTGATAACTTTCTTGCTACCGCTTTAGTGTAAACGCCACAAATCTGGGTATCTCTTCCAATTTATGTCCTTCTTTGTACGATGAGAATTAACCTTTTCCAAATTCTTACACTTGGTAACAACTCCATAATGAAATCGTCGCTGCCCATCCAAATATGCCTGAAAGGTCGATTGCAGTAAAAGCAGATTCATACAGACTTTGTTTTCGAGTTGAAGTAAATCAATCGATCCGACTTGACATTTGGGATAAGAAACTTCTCCCATGGTTTTTTTCCGCAACCATTTCCACCAATTTTCCATTTTTGTAATCAAAACAGCAAAATTATGGTATTATCATAGTCAATACTACCTTTCACAGTTTGTTCCATATGGCTATTAAAATGCAGGTTTGAGATTCATATTAAGGCTGTATCTTCTGTGTGTCAGTTTGCTGGAATTCATCAGGGTTTAATGATGTTAAATATCAAGTTAGCAAGAGGTACGGTCACAAACTTCTATAAAAATATCAGGTATACAAACCCTCACAAACGTGTGTAGAATTTATAGAAACAATACAAATTTAATTACAAAATTCAATAGAATTACCCTATGGCCCAAATCATGGAAGTCAAAACTGTAAAATTTGTAAATCACTTCAAGACAATATTGAATGTAAAAGAACATATTACTTATATTAAGCTTACATTTTATTTGAAGATGTTGGAGGCATATAAACCAGGATTGATGATTATTCACAATAGCCTTTATATAAATAATCATAATAAAGCAAAATAGCAGACTTACTTCTTTGAGATTTCGCTTGTTGGCTGTGTTTAATCGCCATTGTGTCATTCATAATTGAGAATCGTGGACAAGCATAGAAGAACTTGCAGGTGCAGCGATTGGAGCAGTTGAAACTTGAAGGTTGTTTTGATAGTTGTTTTGATAGTAAAGGCTGTAATTGTATTAAAACTTTCTTAAACTTCATCAAATGACCTGGCTTTCTAGTTAAACCAACGAGGTTGAACATCTGTTGCAAATTGTCAGTATTCAGGGACTTCAGCAATTCCATATCGTCAAAACGAGTGTCTTTATAACACACTGTAGATACTCATTGGTGAAGTTTAGCGAAGAGAGACCAGATTCAAAGCTATGATTATTATCCGCCATGACAGTCTGAAGAAAACAGCCGCCCTATTGTCTCAGAGAATCGGGCAGCTGTTCTTGCAGGCTACAACTTTAATACTGATGACGTAGACGTTTTAATAATAGATTTCCGTTTGCGCTTTTTGTGTATATTAAAATATTGATATAAATCAAACTACAGTGATCAAACTAGCTTTAATTACAGTGAAAAATCTCTATTAAATTGTATTATACATAGGGTAGATTTTAACGAAAGTGAAAAGGACGACCAAGGCTACCGGAGATGGAGCATTGAGGGAAGAAACAAGTGCGAGCAGAGTTGATTAAAATAGCATGTGTAACATGTGAGGGAAACGCAAATATATTATGATCGTTGCAACCTTGCTCTTTGAAGCACAATCGTTGTGTTCTTCAAAGAGTCCTGGGACAAACAAATGCATCACAACACAAGAAAAAAAAAATGGGTCTTCTGGCGGTGCTGGATGCTCTTCTGTGTGAGCATATTGCAAATGATGGCAAAGCACATGACAACAGCTGTTTACCTTTTGGATGAAGGTCTGGAACTCTTCCTAGCCTATCATAATATAAAAGGACCACAATTTATCAATACTGACAAGGACATGCAAGTTCATGTACCCACTTCTATATGATTGAGCAATGGGGTCTCTGTGTATACATTGTATTTGTGGAGATTCTAAACCAAAGGTTCATTGTGTTGAGACCAAATTCATGCAATCTGGAAAGATTTTTAGATGTGATATGCTGTGCTTACAGCTACAAGCAACACACCAACAAAAGACACAATCCAGCTTGACGCAGAAACAGTCAAGGGAATCCTGGCCACTGTTGACAGAATGGGATTGGAAAGTGGCTTGTGTGTGTGCTACTAGCAGATAATCGGTCAATAACAGAAATTAGCCAATTAGGATAACATCAAGATCAGACACAGACAAGGTTAGACACAGACAAGGTTAGGTTAGACACAGACAATGTTAGTATGCTGACAATATTTTCGGAATATATCAGTTGTTGTTTTAGTAGGGGGTACAATACTTTTAATAGTACAAACATATATTTACTTGAGGTTCGAGATGTTGCTAAAGCCTGGCAAGATGCTAATTCCACAGCTGATGATATGGTCAAGGTCACACTTAATGAAAAGAAAAGGAAGCTCACTAGTGAAATATAAGCAGATACACAAAAATTGGAGGCCAAGAAAGGGAAATGGAGCAATTATATTATCATGGATATGGAAGAAGTTGCACAGGTAAAGCAGAATAGTCTTGCAAATATTGAAGAGATTTTGTCATCAGCAACATCAGAAAGTTCAAAGAAACAACATCAAAAGTTTCAGCAAATGAAGAAAAGAAGAGCAACAAAATTATTCAAAGAGAGCAAATTTAAAAAAAGAGCCAAGACCAATCAAGGCAATAAATCATTAATAGACAGCAAAGATGAAAAGTTTATTGCCAAAAGCATTGAAGACAAAGCAACATACCATGGCCGTAGACATGATTTAGTTATGTACACTAACAGACGGGTTAAGTAAAGAGATCTTCTTAATATTGCTAATTATAATTGGCTAGTATGAATAAAAAACTGATCAAGAGTTCTACTACTGTTTATAACAGATCAGTCGAAGCCAAACAACACAGAGGAAAGGGCCTGTTTTGCACCAAAAAGCCATCGAAAGTGGAAGATGATGATAATAAAAACACACATTACCAGCGATCACATGTTAAAAATGTCAAGTTAGCATTTTTCGGAAAGGATTTTAAAGATAACTCTCACATATGTTTTATGCGCAGCATTGATGACAAGGCGTATCTAAGACTAGGAACATCAGAAGGATTTCTGAACACCCGAAATAAAAATATTTTGACATTGACTGATGTTGAAAAAGCAAAGAAATTACCAAAGTATGATTGCCCAGAAAAGCTTGTGTACCAAACACCAGGATCCCATCACATATTCACCAAAGAATGTACCATGTCCAATGATAAAGATGAGGAGAAACTTTTGACAAAAGATGACAATCATTTTGTATTTATTTGACCGAAAGCTTTCATTGGATCAAATTGATCAACCTGGGCAAGTGAAACAATCCGCTTGAGGCAGCGCCACCCACATCTTTGTTTGAAGTAGATGATACCTCAAATTACAGTCTGTCATTCAGACAAACATGTTCAATTATTCAAAGTGCATGCTTTCTCTACAAAGACATGACTGAAGAGAATGATGTGACCAAAGCAACTTGTACAGAAGATTGTGTCTACACAAGATATGAATATGAAAGGTAAATACATTGAATACACACTATTAATGCTACTATATATTATTATTATTGCCTATTTTTAGCAGTATGGCTGCTGTTGTGTTCTTCAAGAAAGAATCCAAACTTCCTCCACAAACATCCTAAAACAACTTAAAATTAAATAGAACAGAAATCAAACTTATATCCTTTTGACAGCAGAAATTTCTTGAGGATCATGTTTGGAACATTTCTGGAATTACCCATTGGTTTCAGCACATATAGATTTTCTTTATGTACATATAGTTTAATTAAATTATATATATTATATATCTCTTCAATTTAATGCCATATTAAAATGAAGTAAACAAGGATATGATTATGAACTGCTTTGTGTTATATTATATGAAGTATTGAATAATTCAAACATGGTGGAGAACTGAAGAGTCAGTGAACTATATGTTTTGTATCACTTTTTTTTAAAGTTTCTAATACCTTTTATTTATGCTGCAGTATATTTATACATAAAAAGAAAAGTATTATTTCTGCTTCGACTATTTTAAAGGTATATATACCCATTTGGTTTATATAGTATTTATATAATATTGTTATTGACATTATTTAGTTTATACTGTTATTTTTTAGGTTGCAACACTTGAAAAAATAGCTAAGTCCTGCAGTTTTGGGAAGAGAGTGAGATTGAAGATGACGCAGAACAGATATTCTCTGGGAGAATAGCACAGAAGATAAAATTTATCCTCGAAAGTATTGACATGTGCCATGATGCAACTGGTGATGAGGAATCTGAAGCACTCATGCAAATGATCAAGAAAGTGATGACCTGTTGCCAAGAATTGTTGTTGACATTAGCAGAGCTAAAGCTTCCAATTGTCCGACCAAGATGGTGCGACTTGACCGATGCTGGACCAGGAGTCTCCAATTTCAAGGTAAAGTTCCGAGATGCTGAGTTATACCGTATATTCAATTCCGACCACCGAATTTGTGTTCATCGTTCAAGAGGGGACAGTGGACAGAATGAAGCGGAAAGAACAAACTCTGCAATTGGTGATGCAGTGGTTGATGCGGTGCAACTATAAGGTGGGAGAAATTTAAGCAGTTTGAAAGTTTGAGTGTGGAAGAAATAGAAGCCCTTTCTGTCAAGGAATATGAAGAGATGGAAAAGAAGAGGATGGAACAAAATGCATGGAGCATCTCTAAGCAGTTGGTAGACCGAATTGATGAGATTAAGCGAAATAATTACTTCATATGTGTCTGAAGAACAAGACAAGCTGTTTTTCTTCAACCAGAAGTACCTTTTACAGTACCTTTTACAGTACCATGCTGGCTCAAGTCTGGAAGCAAAAAAGACTGTTCCAGGAGCATCATACTATGCCAAGGTGATTAACTTCTTTAATTTCCACTACAGAGTGGGAGAATTATTTATGGAATATATCAAGTTTAGTTGCAAAGAAAAAGAGTGTGAGTTCTGCCTTTCTTGGAGTGGTGTTCCAGTTGAGAAAGTACCTCAGCCTGTGCCTGATCCCACAAGACCAGGACACTACATGAATGTTTCAGCCACACCTTCTCTTACAGATGGAGTTGAAAGAGCAGTTGATGATTGGCTACCTAGAGGTAATATATCAAAGTTGTTTAACTCTGGTGAACTCTCCATAAAGAAGGATGACAAACGACAGAGTTTGCAGATCAATTTATTGTTAAGAGAGAGTATGTTGTAAGCTATGTGCAGCATCTCACCAATCTTCGAGCTGGAAAGAAGATCAGGGAAAATAAGAGAAGAGCAGAACAGGCCAGGAGGAATGAGAAGGTATATGAAGAATACAAGTGACTAGAACTTGTACTCAGAGGAGAGCTTGGGAAATTGAAGGTTGTAGAGTTGGATAAATACCTTGATCAACACAAGCTCAACAAAAAAGGAAGAAAAAGGGACAAATTAGATTCTATTACAGCAGATGTATTGAGAAAGAAGCAACAGAATGTGATAGAAGAAGCAACGGAACAGATGGTGAATCAGGATGAAAGTGGTGATGGGAGTGATGATGATGACCTGGTTGTTGAAGAAATTGGAACTGAGAGTAGTACCAGCAGTGAAGTGGAGAGTGAAGCACCAGCAGTTGACCCCCTTCCATTGATAGTTAGAACTCGATATGGACGCGGTGCATGGCATTGGAATTTGTTTCAAATGAATTAACCTAGTACAGTACAACATTATTGAAATTGCTTTTATAAAAAACTTTCAAATATGAACACTTTATTATTTAAACATATAAATCATGGAGCAGTACTGTGTTGCCTTTGCTTCCAAAAGACAATGGCAGGTATGCTATTTTTATAATGAAGTGTTGTCCTTTAATTAAGCATCCACTATAAAGAAAATTTAAGGGGATGTTTGATATCAATATAATATCAATATATAATATCAAACACCCTCTTTTTGTTTGATGTGTGGGGGTGGGTGAAAAATAAATTTAGTTATTCATTGGTGGGTAGGGGGAAATGTTATAGAAAATGGGTTGGGTAGTGGTTTTTTTAGGATGATAAAACTTTTCTATTCAGCCCCCCCCCCAGCCATAAATAATAACCGGTCCCTTAGAATGTTTGTTACCAGCTAGGCTATCCTTTACATTGTCTGTCGCTGTTGCATAGTCATCTAGTTTTATTGATTTGCTTCAATTTACTTTGTCCCTAAGTCTCCAAAATCTTCGTTCCTAATTTCAAACACTTGTACTAGTATCTTGATAATATAATGATGGGTATATAGCCAATACAAACAGTTTAAATTTCACAGAACTCACAAGTAATTCTCCCCCTTGGATTAATGGAAGCATTATTCACGAGATAAGGAAGAAAGAAGCGTTGCAACGGATGTTAAGATCATCTCCATCTGACGTCCTTCTTGCTAAATTTAAAGAGCTATGAATCAAAGTTAAAAAAATGGTCCGTGAAAGATTTTACAATTCTCTTGATGGCATCTTCCAAACAAACCCAAAGCGATTTTGGTCGATCTTCAAGCTGAACAATAAACAATCAAGTGTTCCAGATATTATGTCAATGAGAAATGCCGCTGAACCTGAATCATCACAAACTTATGATGTGTCTACTCCTACTGCTATTGCCAATCTATTCAATCGCTACTTCACATCAGTGTTCAACACTGATCATGATAACCTAGATGAACGTTCCTCTCCACCTTCAACGTCAGGACAGTCAGACCTCCAACTAACAATAGAAGAAGTTGCAAGAACACTCTTAACGCTAGACACCACCAAGGCTACTGGACCTGATGGAATACCATCTCGACTTTTAAAAGAAACTGCGTGGCAGATTGCACCTTCTCTCACCCAAATATTCAACAAGTCGTTAAGCTGTGGCGAAATACCTGATGAATGGAAATTAGCAAACATTGTTCCGGTACACAAAAAAGGCGAAAAGAGCCAAGTAGAGAACTATAGGCCTATCTCCCTTCTTTCCATAATATCGAAAGTACTAGAACGTTGTGTCCTGAGAAATATACGTGATCATTTGCTGCAATTAATCAATGATAGCCAACATGGTTTTATTCCCAGAAAGTTGTGTACAACTCAGCTATTAGAGGTTCTTGACTATATTGGTTCACTTCTGGACGGTGGCAAGCAAGCTGATGTAGTCTACATGGACATGTTCAAGGCATTCAACAAAGTCCACCATAAATATCTGATAAGCAAATTAAGGAACGTCTATGGCATCTCTGGTAAACTCCTTCGGTGGTTTGAGTCATATCTGATAAATCGCAAGCAAGGTGTGACTGTGCTAGGAGCTACATCCTCCGCAAGACCTGTCCTGTCAGGAGTTCTACAGGGTTCAATATTAGGTCCCATACTGTTTCTGCTGTACGCGAACGACCTGCCGGATGCAGTAGAGCACTCCAAGATTGCCTCCTTCGCCAATGACACGAAACTATTTAAGAAAGTTGATTCCACTTCCGATGCCATCTCCTTACAAAGTGACTTGAGTAGTTTGGAGAACTGGTCAACATCTTCTGGCCTTGTCTTCAACCAAGACAAATGCAAATGTCAGCGTGTAACAAGGAAAAAGAATCCTATTAAATACGAATATAAGATCAATAACAAGTCCCTGGTGGTCACTGAAAAAGAGAAAGATTTAGGTATAAGGATTACGGACACGTTAAACTGGTCTTACCATACCCTCGATCACTGTGCAAAGGCAAACAAAATGCTTGGTTTCCTGCGTAGGGCTGCAATGAAAATTACAAATGTTAACATACGCCGCACACTGTACCTATCAATTGTTCGCTCAACGCTAGGTTACGCCACTCAAGTCTGGTCACCACAATCGATCGACTTAATTACGAGGACAGAACGCATCCAACGACGAGCTACAAAGTTCATTTTGAAATTACCATATGTGTGCGGAGAAACGTAGAAAGACAGACTGATCTCCTTAGACTTACTACCAATAACCCTACTGGCACGAGTTCCTTGACATTATGTTTTTCTTTAAAGCTGTAAACAACATTATAACTGTCTCGAACGAAATCCTTCTGCAGCCAATTATCCCATCAAGGCTCACTAGAACCTCGGTTGACACCAACCTGCTCTCCTTCCGTCCTCGCAAATGCAAGACACTGACATACCAACGCTCTTTCTTCATCAGAGTAATAAGAACTTACAACTCTCTGCCAGAAAATCTAAGGCAAAAAGATCTCTCACTGATGCGATTTAGAACATTGTTGCTGGACTACTACCACAACGCTGCCAAGACATCCTATGATGTAGACGATGCCAGAACGTGGAGAACAGTCTGCTTAAAATGCAGCACATCACAAAAACTTGTGCAACCATTAACGTGTTGCTATTAGTACATGTACACTATCAATTATGAGTTTCAATTTATATACCGGGTGGCGCAAAAAAAGGTATAACTGTTTGATTACATATAGCTCAAAGACCATAAGCAGTAGAACCCAAAATCGAGTTTCATTGCATCCAGCGATGTCTAACTTAAATTTTGGTATATTCGACAGGCATTTTCGTCCAAGATTGACTGAGATATGAGTGTTTAAACTTTTGTTAGCAAATTTGAAACGGTCACAAATTAGCTAAATACGGCCTATTAAACTGATTTTTAGCTAATTTGTGACCGTTTCAAAATTGTTAACAAAAGTTTAAACTCTTATATCTCAGTTAATCTTGGACGAATATGCCAGTCAAATATACCAAAATTTAAGTTAGATATCGCTGGATGCAACTAAACTCGATTTATGGTTCTACTGCTTATTGTTTCTGAGTTACAAGTAATCAAACAGTTGTACTTTTTTTTGCGCCACCCGGTATTAGTTGTGTGTTTTCTGTATCCAAGGGCCCACAGTAATTGGTTTTAAGCTGTTGTGGTGACCCCGCCTTTTTGTTGTTGTCACCTTTTTGTCCAACCTTGAAACGTGGAGGCTGGACGTATTTGCTGCGTTTCAATATGTTTTGTCTAGGTCTATGCCAAGTCATGTTGGGCTCATAAAAATCAAGCTATTCTAAAATGAATATAATTGTAAAATTAAACCGTCCTAGGTTAGCGGTCAAGGGTGTATGTTTTTGTTTTACTATCATGTTGAAACATAGACAAGGGCATTGAAGTTTGCTCGTTTTCGGGTTGGACAGAAACGGTTGTGTGTACGTGTTGTTTGATTGTGTAATTATAGGCGAAGCTAAATAAATAAATAAAAGTACACCAGAGTAGAGCGAGTTGATATGCTTGTGAAAATAGTGGGATCTGGGTTCAAATTCGTGTTTATTATATAGAGAATACCAAAGGAGAAGAAACTGAAGTTATGGCAGCCAGCAGAATAGGAAAAGTGGAAGGGATAGGCATTTGGATGAAGATGGCCAGCTAATTGAGCAGGGCAACACAAACATAAAATGGATATCTCAGCTGTACAAGTCCAGAATGTGGTTGCCATGACCCTGTGCGAAGTAACATTTCCAAACCTGAACCCCATAAATGGTCTAAGGAACATTAGGTGATAACTAGTTATCCTCTGTATTTATATTGGGTAAGTAAGCTTTGTATTTTTATAACGAACAATTATCTCGACAGAATGTATAAACATGTCAAGGTGTCATTGGAAAAGAGTTTCTTATGCGATAAATGTATCCACAATATTTTTTAATCAAATTGTTGTATTGTATTTGAAACTATTTCTATTGCTCATGCAGGTCATGGGATGATTACCATGAATTATGAGACATGTCTCAAACATATGGTTCCAATAAACATTGCCATAGGTGATAAGATTTTTGGCAAATCTTGTGCAGCTAAATGTATGCTTGCTCTTACTGGAAGAAGCCAAGTGTTCTACCATAGAATAACAGATGCTATGCAGACATGGGTTGCTTGACAAATGCACATGCCCATTCGTATTGGATGATGGGAGCAGAACTTCTGACGAGAGAAAGACATTGACAGACCTTCTCAACATATTTAATGGTATTGCAAAGTGCAATTGACTATGCAAGAGCACTACATCTCCACCTCTCACAATGAATGATTGGGTTCTGGCTGACCTAACAACTGACAAAGCATAAGTGACATTGCAGATTATGTGGGTATATTAGCAAACTTAAGCAAGGCATAATCTAGTACAGGATGTAACAAAAAAACAGCCTTAATTTTTACACTTTTGTGATTATAAAGAATTACTGTTATGAAGAATTTCCACAAGCATGCATGACAAAAGGGCAACGAGGACCACTATTAATATCATATTAATGCAAGAAAATGAGCATGAATTAACAACATTTTTAGATGTCACCATAGCTCTGCTTTACAATGGCAAAATACAAATTATCAGGTTCTGTATACAACGCTTACATTACTGCTATCAGGGGTAGATTCAGACAGGTTTGACAGGTTTATATAAACCTGTCAGATTTTCCAAAGAAAGAATTGAAAATATTCTTTATGCCTTCCGTCTCCAAAAACATGGAGAACATCCCCAAAAACATGGGGTACAAGTATCTAAAGAATCTCCAAAAACATGGAGAGCACCCCAAAAACATGGGGTACAAGTAAATAAATAAGTCTCCAAAAACATGGAGAACACCCCAAAAACATGGGGTACAAGTACATAAATTAATCTCCAAAACATGGAGAGCATCCCCAAAAACATGGGGTACAAGTACCTAAATTAATCTCCAAAACTTGGAGAACATCCCCAAAAACATGGGGTACAAGTACATAAATTAATCTCCAAAACATGGAGAACATGCCCAAAAATATGAGGTACAAATATATAAATAAATCTCCAAACACATGCAGAATATTCCCAAAACATTGGGCCCAAGTAAATAAATAAAACTCCATTTTTACATGGGGACAGAAGACAATGCATGGTCAGTGTTGTGCTAACTTGAGACTGACGAAATATATCACATATATAAGCGCAACGTAACTGTTCATAAAACGCAGTGCCACTAATAATGTGAAAGTAAAATACAGATCTTACCTGGAAAGAATAATCTAAAAATAGAGCAAAACTTCTCTTAATTAAACTTTATCAAGTTTTTTATAATGTTCACTAGGTGATGTTCCTACGATGGTAAGCTGTATGTGAATGCTTAAAACTTAGCATAGGGTTGTGTTATAACCCTTTCGTAATCGTTATCTATATATAACCAAGTCTGTTCAAGATATACCTAATACCTTAGGTATTTCCTCTCTCTGTCAGCTTAATATATAATACACCATGGCTTATCAATTGTAATAACCGACTTATCTCCCCAAAGTCCGAGACAGAAGGCATAAAATTCCTATTTGCTCGCAAATATTTTCTATTTCATAAAATTTGTGTTGTTTGATTTATTACGCGACTTAAATACTATGAGTGAAATTTGATTATCGCTGCTGAGTGTATATACATGATAAACAAATTAAGGATTTATTGCGTTGGTTTCCGCTTACAAAATGTTGTAATTCTAGCCTGATTAATATGTCAACATATCATGGGTTGTGGACTTAATTATGAGTAAACCGGTGGTCAGTGTTTTCTCAATGAGAGTAAACTGGTCGATACACAATTCGATTGGCTAAACGGCTGTGCTTCGGCGGATGTAAACTGGTCATAAACCTGTGAGTCGAGCAGTATTTAGAGAAACCTGGGTATGAAAGTTTACAGAACTCGAGGACGCGCAAAATATGTTTATAGACATTATATTTTGCGTGAGTGAATCATTGCGTTGGCGATATCAGGAAATGATTGCGACGAAGCTTTCATGCATTTACATCTCGATAAGGATTTACATGGATATCTTATTCATTTTTATTAAGGTAAGGTTTATTCAAAAAAGTATATTGTTGTTCTACTTATATAGTGTATAATAAACATCGATCCGTCAATAAGCGAAGGGGTAATGTAGCTACCCTTACATGAATCATGATAGTGCGAAATATGTACTGTAGCTATATTGTTTTGTGTGACCGAATGATTGCGTACCAGATAGACTCTAGAGAGTCAGGAAATGGTTATGCGGCTGTCATTCACTTCCAATTTGCTTTCTAAGTCATTGTTGAAGTTGGTTCGATAGCGTATAGAGTCGAAATTACAACTATGTTTATATTAAAGCTATATCTACTTGTTCTACTTATAATAAATGTTGATCCGTCAGCAAGCGCGACATATGATTGCGTCACGACGTACTATTGGTGTGGCTAGTTATAGTTGTGGCTAGTTATTATCGGTGTGGCTAGTTATCATTGTTCACTAGTGCGAGTTATTTTCATTCAAGTCCCGATACCAAATCAAATACTTTAGTGGCAGAGCTTTGTATTATTCGAATACGACGGCCAGCTATTCCACAGCGTCAGTAATTCTTGATATTTCTGGTGATATTGAGAAAAATCCCGGCCCTAATACATCCAGGAGTGAAGACCAAGAGTCAAATAACACTTCTCGCAAACGACCAGCCAGTGAAATGTCAACAGAGGAATCCAACCCCTATATTGGAATATTTCGATTTCCAAACGCTCGGCACTTATCCAATGAGAAGTACGACTTTATTTTAAAGTGCAAATAAGGTCTTTTTTTCATAGTCTTAGAGAAAAATAACAGAATTACAGAATATTCAGCCCAAATCAAATCGAAATCGGGCTTTGCATCAGAATTTGATCCGCAACTCACTCAGAAATGGAGTATGAAAGTAAAATTGCAATGGGCCTATAAAACCCCCTTAATAATACTGAATGTAAACAAACCTTAATAATACTGAATGTAAACAAAACATTTAAAACATTTAGTATATACTGTACAGAGCCGGATTGTCAGCCGGTGGGAGGCGAAAGGCCCGTAAAATTTACTGTAAATCACTGTATGAAGACTGAAAGTTCTCAAAATAGCCGGTGCGAGGCGAAAAGCCGGTAGGATTTAAATCACTGTAGGAAAAGTTCCGTGTACGTACGTACAACTAATGTACGAACGAACGATCGCACCATAATGCATTGCGCTTGAGCTCGATGAGCCACCAAACTGTGGGGCTCGCTCAGGCTCGCCCCAATTACAAATGTCCAAAAGGTGTGTGTGTGGGGGGGGGGTATCCTTAGTCTAATGCTTGTTTACAGAATGGCTTGTTTGCAGGCACAGCCCTTTCTATCAGTGACACAATGATTTAATCCATTGGTTGTCATTAGTGTGTGCACAGGACTCTTGGCAAGAATGTTGGACAGAGCAAAAAACCTATGCTAAAGCTAATCTATGCCCAACATATCTTATTCAGTGCAACATTAACCCACTGAGCCACTATGAGCCCCAATGGACCCTACTTATTTTTTTACTTGTCTAATGCCAGACAATTTTACTAGTCAATGGGGAGGCTCTGCAGTGCTAGCTTAATGGGTTGATGAGTAGTTAAGTCAATCTCTTTATTAACCAACAAATAAATTAGCAGAGGGAAAAAGACATGATGCAGCAATGCTTGTTGAGTCTGGTCTGCTGGATAGCTTGCAACAACATAATTTCTCAGGCACAGGCCAACCATTATGCACCTATGGAGATCCTGCTTATCCTCTTCGAGTACATTTGCAAGCACCTTATAGACAAGCAGTGATGACACCACAAATGCAGGAATTCAATACTTCCATGAGTGCCGTGTGACATCAGTGGAATGGCTTTTTGGGAACATAATTAATTACTTCAAGTTTGTGGACTTCAAGAAGAATTTAAAAATTGGACTTTCATCAGTTGGCAAGATGTATGTAGTATGTGTAGTTTTACGACATGCTCTGACTTGTCTTTACCAGAATCAAAGCTCCTACTATTTTAATTTAGAGCCACCAACTTTGCAAGAATATTTTAGATAATTAACAGAACAAATTACTGTACCTTATTGTATGGTGGCACAAATGTGAAAGTTAATCATCAGTTTTTATGAACATCATGACACCCCCAAAAAGCTATTTTTACTGATTTTTGCCGAGCACTCTTGGGCAACTACATGTATCTTAGACAATGTTTTACTATAAGATAGGGTACTTTGCAACTTAAAGCTGGTTTTCCATTAGGCAGGATTTTGGGCGCAGAGCGGAATTTTTCTTTGTCTTGTGATTTCTCAGGTGGAACTAAGACAAAGGAAAATTCCACTCCGCGCCCAAAATTCTGCCTAATGGAAACTGGCTTTATGAGTTCACTTATGCATACCAACTGATTGGCAACAGATCATACATTTAGCAACCACAACAGTTAAGTTGCATAATTAGGTGCTTTGAAAAGACAAAATTTCTTACAACTGTATTACAACAACTTTATGATTTTATTGTCTTAAAAAGTTTTAAGAAACGGTAATTAATACAAAATAATTTAATATCTATAATGTTACAATGTATGTAAATAATTTTAAATGACTTTAATATTACAAAATAATTTATTTCAAAAGATTAAAGGCATTGAATAAATATTTATTTTACGACATTTCCTTCCAGTTCTTCACAATTTTGTAAGTTAATAACATTATAAATCCTTTGATCATTTTATTAAAGCTATAACACAGTTTAAAATGTCAATGATGTGAGTGATATATTTTTGAAAATACTGTATTTCCTCCATTTAGCCCGCATGCACCTTATTTTTTCCAGTCATTCCAGTGGGGAGGCCGGAGGGGGCCCCGCTTGTTAGAAAGAGTGCCTGTTAGTAAGGGGGATAAACCTACCATATTTTAAATGAAAACTACTGTATATTACAATGCTATTGAACACAAGCAACTTGACTAAATGACAATTAATACGATATAATTCAATTCCCAAATCCATTACCGGTACTAAACTCATACCTCAAATAATTTCAATGGAGTGGGTATATTACAGCTTGAACGGCCAAACCGAGGCTGCTTTTGCATACTTTTGATGTTTTCAAACTAACCAAAACCAATCACCACCGGGTTATTTTGACTAAACATTTTCTGGTTGTGAACTTATGACATAACCATTGGTCTAAATAACCCTGCCAGTAGTGATTTGTTTTGGCTTACTTTGAAAACATTAGAAAAGTTGCCTCAGTTTGCCTGTTCGAGCTGTAAGAGAAATCAGCCCCTTGTTAGAAACTTTCTCTAGAGTGGTTATGGTAGCACTGGAAATTAACTGTATCCATGCCAGTTATTAACTCGTCAAAACCCACTCCCAAATTATGCCTTGACAGTTCCTTGACAAATAAAATTGTGTGGTCTGAAGTAAAATAATTAAGTAAGACGCATTTAACTCTTGTAATTCAACTATTTTTGCAATCAGTAAATAATTGCCAAAATCTTCCAAAAAATTTCGAAGTTTCCCTGGGCAGCAATTTTTTTGCTCAGGCACACAATGAAATCACCTTAAATACCTTTGGCAATAAGTACACAATTAGATAGATTAGTGAACGGATGAGTGTGATGCTAAGAGGGGAGGGGGGAGGTGGGCTAACCTCTAGAGGATTTACAGTCTCAGAGAATTAAAACTAAAGATTATTTATTATTCAACATACCAAATAATTTCAGCATCAGTTCTTTTTGCTGTGCCTGCTGCATTTGCATTTGTCGCTGTTGCTGAATCATCATAACCTGAAAGGTTTCCATTTCCTGTTGTTGTTGTTGTTGTAGAGTCGTCATTAGTTAGTCATGTCTCTTACTTCCCGCCTCCATTCTCTTCTCCTCCATTGTCAGCTTATTCTTTTCCACCTCCAACATCTTCTCGTGCTTTTCCCTCAAGTAATTCACAGTATCACTACCATTGCTTCTCTTCTTCTTTGCTGGTGTCACTCCAATTTCTACACTCTTTCTTTTTTGTGCTTCCCCAAGATTCTCCATGGCTTTCTTCCTTATATCTTCTGCATTCATTCTGTGAGCTTCAATCGTAACTTTTCTTGATTTTCCCTCTTGACGAAGCTCTTCAGCAGCATCCTCTTTTTCAATTAGTGCCTCCAACGCTTTCTCGACTTCACTCATCTCTGGAGCTATCCCACTTTCCTTATCTTCCCTCTTTATCTTTCTCCTTAAGTTGGTTGACAGCAGGTGATACCGATCCCTTACATCCCGATTATCGACTTTGAAGTGGACTCCTTCAACATTCGTTAAATTTTCCACCACCTGTATCCATTTTGCACTTCTTTTTAATGTTCCCTTCTTTGTGCCACTGAAAACATCCACCCCTATTATTTCTCGGCACAGCATTTCATCATGTAATGGGTTGCTTTCTTAGTTCTAAAAAATTATAAATAATAGTTGAAGTTAATTATTAAAAATAATAAATGGCAATATGAATATATGTATAAAAAATGTAGAAGTGAGTAGATTTTAGCATTATATTATAGACTCTATGCTTTGTTTACATCACAGCTAGTTAATATTAGAAATGGCACATTTTGCTAGCATACACTGTACAGCAAACTTCGACCTTTTATTTAAAAGATTATGTTCGCTATTGTGATTCAACAACACAATCATATTAATTTATGCACAGTTCATAGGGGATTTAAGCAATTCTTTTTTAACATGAAGCTCTTCACTGGGAGCCTATTAAATATTTAACTGTCCTTGCCAGTGCAGGTAGTGCCAACCAAATGAACAAGCTTTCGTTATGGTAGGGATGTAACTTCCTTTAGAGGGCCTTAAATCCCTCAAAACGTCGAAATTATTCTTTAATATATATTTTCAGGCAGCTGCACCATTAATAGTACGGTCCAACGAAAGCTTTTTTATTGTCTTAATTAAACTTTAGCCTGCCAGAAAAAGTAGTCAAGACACAGAAATCCATAATTTCTCAATTTTTAAAAATTAACAGCGGCAAAAAACACATAACAATGGAATATTAAGTATCGAACTATACGATGAATTATATATATTTCTATACATTTATGTCCTTTCGTCACACAGGCAATACACTTGAAATATCCAGAAGTGTTTTGAGGTTTTACTGTAGTTGTCTCAAGATCACTTTTATACACCGTTGTCGACTCTGAATTCCAAGTTTTAGTATTAAAAACACCATTCATACTAGGATAACTTTATTTTTCTTGTCACAACATTATAAGGAGCCATTACTATTAGCTTTTGCATATAAAGTAGGTTGTAAACAATCAGTTGTACCCACTTGGCCTGCGCGGTTTGTATTGATCTTGTGACGGCTTGCATGTCTTGACCTTTTGACCTTATTCAGATTATAATTAAGTTAAATTCAAATTAGTACTAAGCAATACAAAACATGTTTACATTTTAACAAAATATATTCTGTTTGTGGAACTTACCTGAGTTAAAAGCACTATTTTGTGGAAAAACTTCCTTCACTTTGGCAAATCTACTACGAGGGGAAAAAGTATCAACTCCCGTTGTAAACTGCGACGGCGACGGGAGAAATATAAGCAAAACCTAGTGTCCAGACTCTTCCCACTTCCGGCCGAGCGTCCCCGTCGTAAAACAGCGCTAGCTTAAGGTCGCTAATGATGTGAGATGGGGCGAGCAACTGCTCACGTCAGGTCATTTTGGAAGTCCCTTTCATTTTGTTAATCAGTTTCCGCGACCTGCGCGTAAAAATGGTCACCCGGTTTTAAGTTCGCGATTCTTGAGCAGGATTTTTGTGATAACTATATCAAGCCACCTTAAAAACGTATTTTCCAAGCATATTATCGGTGAAACGGCCAGTAAAATAAAAAAAAGTTAGCGTAGCTTCTTCATTGTCCCTTTTGTAGAAAAGCGTTGATTAAATCAAAACAGATTCATTTATATGTGTTTCTGATCGGCAGAGCAAATGAATATGAACCTGTCACTGTCGGAAGTCACTGAATTTGTCGAAGCCAAAACGCCAGCCATAAACTATTTATTCCAATGTTTTTCTGCTACCAGTACCATATTCATGAAAAAGCATGTATATTTTTACTTCTAAACTATATGTCCTTTTGTGTGTTTCTTGCACTGAGCTATACTTAATATATCTGGAGATCGTGCTCCAATACCTCGTCAGTCAAAAATGTGTGGCCAAAAACATGGCGGATTTTGGCCAAATTTACGTCATTTTGACGTCACAATCGACCTAAATTTATGGTGAACACCAC